ATGTAGTCCCTCATGATGAAATGCACCAGCAGGTCAAAGAAAGACTCATCTTAACGTACAGAGACCATAAAACAAGAAAGCCTGACACATATGCAGAGTCAAAGTGGATTAGACCGAGAAGAAAATCACGGCTAAGAAAAAAAAAAAAAAAAAACGGGCGGTGCTGTGGAAAAGTATTTGTCGCCTCACAGATTTTTTCTGTTGATTTTTTTCTCACATTTGTTTCTGGTCAAGCAAATTGGAACAGCAGACCAAGAAAAGAGGCATTTTTGATGGCAAGTAGTATTTTACATGTGGATAAACTGGTTCTCATCTGTTCTTAAATTTCTTTAATTATTTTTTTTTTCCATTTGCATGTTTCCGTGAATCAAAATTATTTTGGTAATTTCAAATCGTGCAATGTTTTGGTAAATAGAAACACAGATGCTGATCAGTGTTAGTCCACATTTTGAAAGACATTCATTTTTTTTCTTTAAACTATTAAGTCTGCAGACCAGAAAGCCAGAATTGTTCTAGATCTCAAGACTTTTACTGAAGATGAGGGAAAAAAAAAAAAAAAAACTCACAAAACTGTGAGGCTGTGGGTGAACAGGATGACCTGGAGGAAAACCGCAGTGCAAAAGATGAAACCAGTGGAGAATAATGAAACCAGGGAGCTGAAATATACTGACAACAAATCACAGAAAGACCAGAAGAGCTAATTACAAATGAATGGATGCAGCTGCGGATGGAGCAGGTAGGGATAAATGAGGAAATGATGAGCAGCTGGGATAGCATGGAGAAGAACGGCGAGGTGGAAATATTAATCTAATAGAAAAAGATTTAAAACACAAACAATGAAAACAACTGAAGTAAAACAAAGGTGTGAACTAAAATAGCAAGACAGCAGAAAAACACACAATTAAGAAATGATCAAAACTGAAAATCACTGAAGCTAATCATCCAAACAACAAGGGATTGCAGCAGTACATTGAAACTGAAGTTCTGATGTTAAGTCATCAAAATGATGAAAACTTAGAACACCAGCTGGGGTCTATGAATCTTCTTTTTGCTGTCAGACGTCTGCTGGAGAAGCTATTCCGGTTTCTTTGGCATCTGACTCGATGCTTTTGATCAAATTTTAAACGGAGCTGCACGACGGTTCATGTTGTCACATCGGGGTTTTTCTAGAGAATTTCTTTGCAGCTCTGTTTCTAAAAAAAAAAAAAGATTTTTTAAAAACTGCATCTTCCCTGCTGGATTAAATTCTGTGCTGCTGTGATTCCTGGTGTAAACATCAATAATACCAGCCGTCGATGTAAGCTGGTTCTGAACAGCATTCAGCTTTGTGGAAATGCCAACGCTGCATGTACGATACATCTTCAATTCAGTCGCATTCTGGATGCTTTTTTAAAAACTATTTAAATGCCTTTTAATTTCTTCACTTATTGGGTTCCTTTTCTTCATTCACAATGCAACAAAATAATTTCTGTGTAGAGATTAATAATCAATATTTTGATTAAATTCAATATGTGCTAGCTTGTTTGTGACTCTCTGTATTCCCACAAGTCTTTTTTTTTTGTTTGTTTTTTACTGTGTGAGTGAATAACTGCTGTGTTTTTCTAAGCCTGTCCTCCATTAGTCTGGATGTGAGGCTCTGACAGTATCGGACCACTAGGATCTATGGCTGGTAAAAATAGATTGCGATGCAGCTGTAGCCCTCTGCTGCTAACACAATCTGTCTATCTACGGCCCTGAGAGATACAGGAAGTGACCGTATATCAGTCTCTCACTTCCTGAGATAAATGACATTATTGACACGCGCATGAGGAGTCGGTATTTGGGGGAGTGGAAATACACACACCTCATGTTTACTGGAAGCAGCCTGTCACAGTGACTGACCAGAAGTTTGGGAATTTGTAGTGCATCATGGGTAAAGTTTAATGTCTTTATATTAGAAATTATTGCTGCTGACTTTCAATCAAAAGTCCCCTTGCATAATGAGCGGTACCGTGAGCTTTGAGTTTTAACCAGCGTGCATCGCTCTTTATGCTTCCCGCCGAGTCGAATCTGATGCGTTTGTGACGCATCGGCAGAACGACCTGCAGAAACGGCACTAATAGCTGATCATCAGGCATAGACGTTTCTCGCATAATCTATAATCTTTTATATTCAAAAATGTCTAAAAGCCTTCTCCTCCCGTAATAAATCTCGCCTCATTGGGATCAGTGAGTCACCACCCCCATCAGGGCTGCCGTTGCTTAGGTTCTGTCCTGGCACACATTCATTAGTGGCATCAACGGACTTTTGATTTCAAAAAAGGGAGGAAGCTGCTCACCCCCCTTCTACATCCACGCTAATGAATCCCCCCCCGGTGGCTGAACACGGACAGACGGACAGACAGGCGGACACGCGAGTGTGTATGATGGAAGGGAAACTTCCACAATGGGAGATGGCCTGAAACGGTGAAACATTAGGAGAACGGCATTTGGCGGTTAGGAGCTGGGAGCAGGAGAGGCTGTGGGAATCAGATGGATATAATAAAACAATATGAAATTTGTATGCATATGAGAGACGGAAAGGGAGCAGAGGGTGGAGGGAGGCATGAGAACGGGGATGATGTATGGGAGGGAAAAAAACGGGGAAGGTGCGTGGGGTGGTTGATATGACAGATACCCCGCGAGAAAGATCTGCCCCGAGGCAAAATAACTCATCACTGGAATTACACAGGAGCACCCTTGAGTTCTGTGCGAGTGAGCATGTGTTGCACAAGGAGCCGGGATATACAGGTTTATACGCTTGGATTCCCGTGTGTGTTTTATTTGGAAGAAACCATAGAGAGAGGATAAGAAAGGATGGCACTCTTAAGCGACAGCATCCATTGTACCATAGTGGAGATGGAGAGAGAGAGAGAGAGTTGGACATAAAAAATAGAAAAAAGCAGAGATAAGTGGGTTTTAAAAATAAAAAATAAAAAGAGAGACCTAAGGTGGATTAGACAGATGACAAGCGTAAGGGGGAGGAAAAAGCAACTGCAAAGAGACAAAAAAAGGGGGGAAAAAAAAGGTGTGCTAGGGTGTGAGATTAGAATGTGAGGAACAAACAAAAACACTTCCACCAACACACCCGCTAACCGAAGATGACAGCTGGGTTGTCGATATCTGAATCGCTGTAACTCTCTAAGCATCTGAACCGCTGACTGAGCACTGAAATGGGAAGAAAATCATTATGCTGCATCTCTGAGCTTCAAAGGAATTTTATTAGCGATAACACAAAATAAAGGTAGGAGGTTGAAAGGAAATGTAAGGAAAAAAATGTTGTTTTTTTTGTTTGTTTGTTTGCTTTTTATGTGCCCCCGTGTTGTATAGCAGTAGATGAATAGTGTGGAATTAAAAATGCCCTTCGATGGGCTAGGTTAGTTTAGACAAAATATTGTCTAAAGTGGAAATTTTTGCTATATTTTAAGATCAACTGATGCAATCTGGGAGTTAAAGTTTAATGCTCAAGAGATTGTGATTATTCAGAATCAGGCTGATTGTCAGGTAGCCACTCCGGTATCCAAAGTCAGCGACATTCATGAGTGCAGACAGAGCCTCTGCATGGTGTAGCATGAAATTAAAGTAAATCTTACTTTAAATGTTACAGTAAGATTATGTTCTACTAAGGTTTTCATTAGTCTCCATAGTGTGAATTCACATCAACATCAGATTAACTTGTGAAACCTTCATACACATGTTAATTCTAATAAAGCCTTTTGTGAAAAGTATTGTTGGGATTATTTCTCCATATTGATCCGACCGAATCGACTCAACATAATATGTAACAGCCAGTGTAGCCATGGTTACCTTGAAAAAGGAATCTGAAAAGATTATTCAGATTGCTGAATAATCTTTTGAAAAGTAAAGCCACGTCATTTATGATTTTCAAAAATCTCTTAAGTGTGGCATTTAAATGTCATAATTTAAAATAAAGCAAAGGAACTTTTAGTTGGAAGTAATAGAACTGAAGAGAGATCAAACAGAGATCTTGTAACGTCTGTAACTTTCTCCACAAGCTTTCAAACATCTTGTTTTCTCAGTTTCTTAGTACGACGGTTCATTAGAGCCAATGTAGGTAAGAAGAAAATGAAGTAAGTTCCTGCCAAAAAGCGCAGATATTTTGAGATTTCTAAAACAAAACAAAACCAACTTGGAAATGTATTTCTTTAAAATGTTAAAAAGAATTCAAACATTTTCTAGAAAAATCTTGGAAATTTCTAGAAAGAAAAAAAAACTCAAAAAATTCCAAGTTTTTTCATAGAATATTTCTGAGAATCTCAGATTTTCTTTTTCTTTTTCTGGCAAACTTTTGAGATTAATCTCAAAAGGTGAGGGTTTTTTTTTCTTTCTTCTTTTTTAATGAAAATTTTAAACTTTTGGAGCTCAGAAATTGTCTTGTTTGTCCTAAAACATTTCTGAGATTAACCTCAAGAGATTTTTTGGGGGGTGAAAACATACTAATTTTCTCTGTCTACAATGGGCCTAATAATATGTCACAGCTTAACATCTTCATAAGGATGGTGAACAATTATATTCCTAACAGTACTTTACCAATATGCAAGGCTTAAGCTATCCGAGAGGGAATCTCTACATTCCTCCACTAAATGTGCAGAAAACCCCGTCAGCTTTGAGAACCTTGAATTCTCATACAGAGACAATCAAAAACTTCACATCAATTTTAAATATCATATAGAGAACAAAGTGGAAGTGGATATAAACATAATGAATGGGAGCTGTGCTTCTTTTCTGGAAGGAAAGCCTCTTTCTCTCTCCTGCTCTCACACACACACACACACACACACACAGGACAGATAAACACAGCACTGCACAGCAACAAAAAACCCACGCACTCGCATGCAGTGATATCATTAGTCGTTTCCTTTTATATTAGACTTTGTCAAGACTTTTAGCCCCACTAGCCCACATGCAGGAGAACATGCATGCACACATACATGGGTAGAGGGAGCATTTAAATTGTGTAACCTGCTGGTTTTATGTAAGTGTGGAGCACACCCACTCCATGGGAGCTCAGAGTTCGCAGAGCACTGAGGTGAGAAGAAGACAGAGGCAGAGACAGACAGTAAGGAAAAGCCGTAGGGAAGCCATGACGGGGGGAGGCACAAAGAAATACCACGCTTGTTCCACTTTTTTTTTTTTCTTATCATCTGCTTACAAGATGGATACTGTCATTTGTTAAGTTTGCACAGTTTTCTGTTGGCTTAATAAAATGATTCTGACATGCTTTGGTTTTATGCAGCAGGGATAAAGTGCTGCCATTTCCTACTTAACTGAGTTGAAACAGATGTTTTCAGAGCAGCTAGCTTTAGCGCTGGTGTACGTCTCAATCTTCATTAACAGCTCCCTAAATGGCATATTTTTGTTACAAGGGTTAGCACTATTTGGGACTTTGGACCCTCTGAAAAAATGTTAAGAACTATTTTAGCAGAAATAAATTATATGATTTCACTGATAAACGTGATGCACCCAGACAAATGTGTAAAAATACACGAGGCAAAGTGAGCCAATGATTACAATATGAGGCAACAATGATAATATAGTTAATATTATGAGTATTTTCTTATGAAGAGCACAGAGATGCACCAATTTACTTTCTTCACTTCTGATACCAATATCTGAGGTTTAGTATCAGCCGATACAGATCCGATACAGAAAATCAGTGCTGAATTGACTTAAAACATTTTTTTGTTTGTTTACATAAATGTACTGACTTACAAAATTTGATAGCTCAGCACCAGTACAGCATACTTAAATACAGCACACTTAAATAGCTCCACAACTTTAATTTGTTCAATTAGTGTAACTATGAATATAATAAAGTGAAACTGACAAAATCATTATTGATCACCTTGGTCAAACATGTAAAAAAAACCCAAAAAAAAACCAATAACAGCCCTTCTTTCAAATGGTTCAGAAAGGGCTATTTATATTTAAAAGCATGTGCAAGAAGCCAGGAGCTAACTGTGAAATCAACTGTAAAAAAATAAAAAATATAATTGTAAAGGTAATTACCTTTTTTACTAATATGTGAATCAAGCTAAAGTTACAGTATGTACGAAGATATAGCAACTGGGACTAATGCTGCTAGTTTTATTGTTGGAAAGCATAAAAAAAAAATCCTTTTTTTCACTTATAAAAACCAAGTGCTACTTCACAAAACAGTTGAGGTACGCTAACAGGAAGTGGCTACAAACATCACCCCAGCGCTTGGATGAGTTATATAATGAGAGCTACCTGAATAGTGTAAGGCTAACCTGAATTAGCCATCGTCTGTACATGCTAAAGGTCAAAGGGGAACCGGGTCGTTGGCCAACAGGTGGCCGACATGCCGTCAGTCTACGCCAGGGCAACACTGAGACACACAAGCCACATTAGTTCATATTAATTAAACAAAAATTATTTACCAAAAAGAAATCCTAAAAGTTTCGAGATTTCTTTTCTTTTCTTTTAACTAACTAAGCATACTAAGGCATGTATGAAATGTAAGAGATCTCTCTCAGAGCACAATAGCTCTTTATGTCCGGCTCGTCTGAACGCGCTCAGTCACACAAACAAATATGCTGGTGGCCCGTGCCAGCGTTATCCACACCTCTCGGGATAAAGTGTTACTCTCTCCTTTGTGTCATCACAACACATAAAACCAAACAAAGCGCATGTGTTAAGATCCTTCTCACACCAGCAGGCGTGTTCAAACGCTTGCCTTCGGTTTTGATGGAGCAGAAAATGTGGAGCGATTGCATCAGCCGTTCACCACCGAGCAGGGTGTTGCATTTCCTCCCATCTGGTCCCAGCGAAACAGGCAGCGCTCTCGCATCTATCACGGCAGATTCTTGTTTAGTTGACGCACGTTATCACTCCGGCTGTGAGACGATGTGTCCGTGGAAGGTATCGCAACAGGTGTCAACGGAAATAACACATGCTCATTTGTTTGCTTTTTTTTTCTTTTGTTGGCAAATTCTCTAACATAAATGCAAATTCCAAACACCAGTCTAACTGTCTTTCTACACATTGTCTTTCTGTAGCAACTTTTAAACCTTTGCTAGTGATTACTGCAGCCACCTGACTACAAAGCCTTAAAAGGGGGTAGTCTTATGGAAAATTGACTCTTTTGAGCTTTACATCATGTTATAAGGCAATTCCCTCATTAAAAAAACCCCTTCCTTTCATATGTTTAAGAAACCCTTTAATGTCCATGGCAACCATTCAGCTGTGCAAAAAGCCTTGATGGACTTAGCTCCGCCTTCAAGGACGAAGCTCCTCCTGTGAGCTGCAGTTTCCAAGTTTCGGTGTTTCCGCCTCACAGAGCAGCCCTCCCTCTGTAACTCCAACACTCGGCTCCTTCAGACTAGCCAGCAGCAATCAGCAAACACCTGATCGAACTGTATATCAGTTGAGCTTATTATAGGAGCCATTTCTCAGTGTAACGCTGGTAAACATGTTGTTAAAGGGTTAACAGAGGAGCCATGCTGTGATGACTTCCTGACGGCGGAGCTTCAGAAAGAGCAGGAGTTTTTAAAGAGACAGAGGCCCAATTTCAAGGTGTTACAGTACAAAGTCAAATTGTATATTTTATATACAATTTTTGTATATATTATAAAAATGATATATATACAGCATTTTTATAATAACGGAAGGTAACATGGTTACTCAGTGCTATAAAACATCACTTTGTGCCTGGAAAAATACATAATACTGCCCCTTTAAAACAGATGCATTGGTCTTTGAAACTCAGACCTGATGGCACTAAAGAATATCCATCCATCCATCCATTTTCTGAACACCCTTGTCCCTCAGTGGGGTCGGGAGGGGTGCCTATCTCCAGCTAACGTTCCGGGCGAGAGGCGGGGTACATCCTGGACAGGTCGCCAGTCTGTCGCAGGACAACACAGACACACAACCATGCACACACACACACCTAGGGGCAATTTAGACAGACCAATTAACCTAACAGTCATGTTTTTTGGACTGTGGGAGGAAACCGGAGTACCCGGAGAAAGCACTAAAGAATATTCTAGATAAAAATTCTGGAAACATGAGAGAAACTAATTTATCTTCTCTTAAATTTGTTTTTGTGTTTTTAAAAGCCATCTGGCACAGTCGGTGAGCTGCCACCCAAAAAGCCTGCGCATGTTTGAGTACCTAATACCAATAGTTTTCTCTTTTCTCCAAAGAAATATTTGCATATCAAGAAAACCAGCGATAACACTTTCAAACAATACACTACAAGCAAAACCGATGGTGAAAGCAAGGCCACTCCGAGGGTACTCGACAAACATCTGTGAAGTGTTTTTTTGCGCGCTTCTGGCTCAATTAAAATGCTGCAGCGGCATTAAAGAGTGTGACACGTTCACCTGGTGTCTTTCAAAAGCCTCGGCTCATTACTGCTCTTGTTCCAGCTATTTTTCCCCCTGATTGTCTCTGTGCTTCCCGCTTCCACTCTTCTGCTTCACCTCTGTTGATCAGCCATTGAGCTGGAGCACAATGGCTCCTTGATCCGCTTCCAGGTTTGCTTTCCCACCTCTCGTATGTTTTAGAACCGTTTGTTGTTTCGGTGTATCGTTAAACTTTTATTCCCGTCTTTTTGTTTGGCTCTTTTTTTTTCTTCTTTTTTTTTTACTTTTTGTGACATTCTTACACAGTGGCGCAGTTGGTAGAGCTGTTGCCTTGCAGCAAGAAGGTTCTGGGTTCAATTCCCAGCCCTGGTCTTTCCGCATGGAGTTTGCATGTTCTCCCTGTGCATGTGTGGGTTTTCTCTGGGTACTCCGGTTTCCTCCCACAGTCCAAAACTATGACTGTCAGTTTAATTGGTTTCTCTAAATTGTCCCTAGGTGTGAGTGTGTGTGCATGGTTGTGTGTCTCTGTGTTGCCCTGTGACAGACTGGTGACCTGTCCAGGGTGATCTCACCTGGAACGTTAGCTGGAGATAGGCACCAGCACCTCCTGATCCCACTAAGGGACAAGGGTGTAAAGAAAATGGATGGATGACATTTTTATTTAGTCATCTAACTCGCTTAAGGTTGTGTTGACTTGAATACACTCAACCAGATTCAGTGTGAGACTGTTTACATTTACATGTTTCCTAAATGGCCAACAGATACTCGTATAAATGGACCTAAATATGAAGCAATAAAGTCTGTGAGCGCGTTTTGGACTAAACCATCAATTATGCTGCTTGATTTCCTGCTATGTTGTAGTTGTAAATGTGTCTTTACAGTCTCTTATTTCTATAATTCTTTTTTTATCTTTGTGTTGTGAGTTCCCACATACCTTAACTCACTGTTGCGATATCTGAATTTCCCCACTGTGGGGCAATAAAGGACATTTCTATTGTATTTTATTCTGTTCTGTTCTAATATTTGCATATGAATTAATCAGAAAATATGACCAATTGGCAAGCTGGAGGGTTGGGAAATTATTATTTTGTTAGACGTCAATAAATTGAGGATGTTTGCAAATCCACCCCCCCCCCAAAAAATGTGTTTAGAATTCATTTAGCCATTGTTTTCCACTGCTGGCTCCATAAAAGCAGCAATAAACACCATTCAATTTAGAAAATATTGACTGAAAGCAATTATTGTGCGACATTTGGATTACTTAATGGAACTGGTGCGCTGAAGCCTCCAGGTTTGGATTTTTTAATATATTAGCTTTGTAATTTGCTCGAACTCTCATATTTTGCTTTGCTTTGTCATCGCTGCTCTGTTCACTTATTGCAACAATTTTTTTTTTTATCCTCTTTCCTGGTCCTTTGCAATCATTTTGTGTTTCCTCTACTCCACCACTCATGCTTCCTATGTAGCTTTAGCGCATTCAGTTAATCACACACCTGTTCTTTGTTCCACAATCAGCCTCCTCTGTATTTATACCTGCGGTTCCTTTGTGCTCTTCTAATAACTTGCAGAGCCGTTGCTCCTCAACGGTTTTACTCCAGTCTGTTTTCCCTCTGGTTTATTTATTACACACATTTCCATAAGAGTACGATCTTGTAAACCTTTGCCAATATGTCAAACAGACTCACTTTCGCAAT